ACCACTGTTGGTAGTTGTACTTAAACCTAACTATATAAAATTATATACCAAATTATCTTTTAATATAGTTAATTACGTGTTTTTTTAGAAACCATTCGTTTTGTTAAAACAATGGCCATAATTTCGTTTTTTTAGTTTTACTCGTAATATGTATATAAATGTAAATATATGAAAGGTTTTTAATGACCTCAACGAGCTTTATTCTTTACGTATGCCTCATTTATAAATGAGTCTGCAGAGGTCTGTAAATTGCACCTTGGTCTTTGTAATGCTTCTGACATATTTTCTAGGTAAATGGCGCAAGTGCTTGTTCATCTGAAGATGACGGTGGAGTCTTGCGCGGTATAGTGACAGAGCTGATGGAAACATCAAGCGATTCAAGTGAGTCTGATGACGACGAGATTTACCAAATCGTTATGGATAATTCTGATAGCGACGACGAGGATTTATTAGAGGAACTATTGAGGGATAGAGAGAGAAAGAAGAGGAATAGCATTAAAAACTATTTGGAGGAAGTGGTACCTACCTATACTGAGGCAGAGTTTAAGATGCACTTCCGTATATCGAAGGAACTGTTTCTCAATTTGTCAGCTAAATTTGAGGAAAGCGATATATATAAGAGCCTTCGAGTCGATAAGCGTTTACCAGGGAAGACAAACATGGCAGTTTTCTTATGGTTTGCCGGTCATGAAGCATGCAGCTTTCGTGACTTATCCGACCGCTTTAATATATCACTGTCGACTGTTTCTCGTATGGTCAATAGAACGACAGTGTTCATTAGCAGTTTGAGTCCAGAGGTTATACGATGGCCTACTGAGGAGAAGAAGCGAGATTCGGCACTTTTTTTACCAGAAAAAGTGGCTTTGCAAAAGCAATCGGTAAGTGGTAAAAACTATAATTGTGCCCTTAATTTTCAAAGTGGTCTAGGTCACTTCACATCTTATGCTTATAAATATATGCTTAAATATATAAACATATTCTAAAATATAGGATGCATTGATGGCACGCATATCGTCATTGATCCTCCAGCTGAGCGGAAAGATGACTACATTGACCGGAAAGGCAACATTACCCTTACTATGCAGGCCATTTGCGATGAAAATAAAAAGTTCATCAACATATTCGTTGGATTTCCTGGATCAAGTCACGATAGTTGGGTTTTTCAGAACTCGCCTATTTACCAAAAATTGTCATCGTATTGTGGAGGTAATAAATTTGTTAAAGTAATTTAATTTTTTAGAGGCATATACATATATAACGTAATATACCCTATTGTTTTTAATCTTACAGATTACTACTTACTAGGAGACTCTGCTTACCCGTGCACTCAGTACGTTATCACGCCATATAAGGATAATGGTCACTTGACGGCCGCGCAGAAAAACTTCAATGTGAAGCTAAGCTCCGGTCGCGTTGCAATTGAGCACACATTCGGAATCCTGAAGCAGCGATTTAGGCAGTTGTACTATTGTAAGCTAAGGGGTAGTAGGAAGTTGTGCCACTTCATAAGGGCGTGTTGTGTTTTGCACAATATTGCGAACGAGAGCGATTTAGAATTTTCGCCAGAAGTTTTAATTGAAGAAAGAGCAGAAAATGAATGTGGTGAAACAGCCAGAGGAAACTCTGTCCGGGATGCCATTTGTATGGATTTGCCACCGAGGCAACAATCAAGAAGTATTCCTTAATTTAACATTTAGATTAAGATTAAAATAAGATTAATATTAAGATTTAGTTTAAGATTTAGTATAAGATTAAGATTAAGATTAAAATTTAGTTTAAGTTAAGATTTATTTTAAGAATTAGTATAAGACTAGGATTAAGATTAAAATTAAGTTTAAGTTAAGATTTAGTATAAGACTAAGATTAAGATTAAAATTAAGTTTAAGTTAAGATTTAGTTTAAGATTTAGTATAAGACTAAGATTAGGATTTAGCTTAAGATTAAGATTAAGTTTTATTTTTAAGATTTAGTTTAATATTAGGATTAAGTATATTTAAGATTGATCATTAAAAAATGATTTTTATAAATTAATGGTCGAAATTTGTCATAAAGATACTGTTATTATTTCACACATAGGTGCACGTATGTATGTATGTATTATGGATAAGGAACTTGCAATATTTGCCAGCTTTAACTAGGTCATAGATCGCCTTTGTAGAGGATAATAATAGGTCGTAGCCAAAAGCAAATTTCCAAAATTATAACTCGCTCTTTATTCAGTCTTTTATTCAAACTTTTATTCAGTCTTTAGTTCAAAATACAGTTTAGTAAAAAGGAACCTTAATGTTTAATTAAAGAAAATAAAGTTTGCTTGTAGCAAGCTATAGTAAGAATATTATAAATACACTAAGATTACCCAAGTGCTGGAAAATTGGAAAGATTATAATGAAGTAATCTTCTCAACGCAACTAATGGGCCAAGTTCAAGAGGCTCAGAATTCAGTGGATGCACAAGAGGTTCAAAATGCGTTGTATGAACAAGAGGCCCAAAATCCAGTAGAAGCAGTGGTAATGCAAAGCCTACAACGAAATGTGGAAACGCTTCCATCCGAAGAAAACTCAGATTCGGCTGAGAAGCAGGCGTGGGTTGAAGCCCCAGTAAAGCTGATGC